GGGGGGTGCGGTGCCAAGGCACAGAGCGAGTCCCAGGGCCAGGGGCTCAGCTCAGGCAGCCCAGGCAGGCAGGGGAGGAAAGTGGATTGGGAGCCAGTGCTGGGCGGGCGAGGCGGCCTCCTGAGTCACCGCGTGGTGGTCCGGGGAGGGGCTGCTCGGGCCCAGAGACAAATTGCAGTCATTAGGGAATTTAAGAGGCTGGGGGAGGGGCTGAGCATACGGGCCCTGCTCCAAGTTAGGATGCGTTCCCCAAACACAGGGCCCCACCTCAGGTTTCCTGGGACCTTTCCTCCTCTCACCGCTGTCTCTCCTGTTCTCTCTGGGTCCCTGTCTCCCTCTCCCTGGGTTTCTATCTCTTACCATGTCTCTGTCCCCTACTCTCCAGTTCTGCAAGAAGCCTCCCCCTCCCTGCCAGGGCCCTGACTCCCCCACCTTCCAGGACTATGAGGACCACGAAGTGAGAAAGCATGGGAGACAGGACTGCCAAGTACCAGCTGCCTCCTGCACCCCCAGTTCCTTCTGGCTCCCCACCCCCACCCCTGCCTCTCTCTTTCTCTGCTGCTGTCACCTTCCATCGCTCCCTCCCAGCCTCGCTGCCCACTCCCCACCACCTGTCCTGCATCCATCACTCCCTCACCTGCCCACTTTCGTCTGCCTGGTCCTTCGAGGGCCTCTCTGCCCCTCCTTCCATCATCGCTGCTGTTATTTGGCATGTGTGTTGGGGGGACACCTCTGCCTCTTTTCTCTCTACCTTTTTCTCTTTCTTTGTGTCTATTTCTGTTCCATCTTCACCTTTTTCCCTGTTCCTTCTGCTTCTCTCCCTGCTTCCCCACGCTGATCTCTCCAGGACTCTCTCTGCCTCCTGCCTCGTCTTGACCATTTTGGTCGGCCTCCCCTGTCCCCATCTCTCCCAGGTTTGCCTTTCACACTCCTCTCCAGGCCTGTATTTTTCTTACCCTTTCCCTGTCTCTCCACCTTCGTGTTACATTTCCAGCCTCTGTCCCTCCTTCTCTCAGCCTCTCCCTGCACCTTCCCCTGAGAGCCCCCTCCTACCCCACCCACCCTGCCCTGGGGTCCCCCTCCCTGGATCCCTTCCAGGTTCTAACACCTTCTTGGGCTGGGCAGGTTCCCTGCGGGTTCTCATTAACAACTGTGGCTGCTTCTCTGGCCAGAGAGGGAGGAGATGGTACCAGGGAGTCTTGGAATGGGAACTAAGCAATTAAAAAAAAGTCAGG